GGGAATTAAGGTATCACCATGGCAACCGGCAGGCTGTTTTGGGGGGATCTGTGGGGGGAGAAGGTCGGGGGGGGCAGAGCTGGCAACACTGCACTGGAGGTGGGGGAAGGTGTGGGTCCTGCTGGGGACCAGCTGGCCCCATAGAGCCAATCCCAGCCCCATGGGACCATGTCCAGACCCACAGGACCATGCTGAGACCCCAAGCCCCATGCCCAGCCCCACACAACTATGCTCAGCCCCACATGACTATGCTCAGCCCCACAGGACCATGCTGAGACCCCCAGCCCCATGCTCAGCCCCAGAGGAACATGCTCAGACCCACGGGACCATGCCCAGACCCACAAGACCACGCTGAGACCCTCAGCCCCATGCCCAGCCCCACACAACTATGCTCAGCCCCACATGACTATGCTCAGCCCCACAGGACCATGCTGAGACCCCCAGCCCCATGCTCAGCCCCAGAGGAACATGCTCAGACCCACGGGACCATGCCCAGACCCACAAGACCATGCTGAGACCCTCAGCCCCACACTCAGCCCCACAGGACCATGCCCAGCCCCACAAGACCATGCTGAGACCCTCAGCCCCACGCTCAGCCCCACAGGACCATGCCCAGCCCCACAAGACCATGCTGAGACCCCCTGTGGTCCCATGAGACCATGCCCAGCCCCACGGGACCACATCCAGACCCACAGACCCTTACACCCAACAAGACCCCACATCTCCCTCCCTGCCACGGGGTGCGAAACGGCCACCGCGGGCGCAGCTGTGGGGCAGAGGAGCTGCCGTGGGACGTGGGGCTGGGGGCCGGGAGTGGGTCTGGCCGCTGGGGGCCGGGCTGGCAGGGGGCCATGGGCTCGGCGTGCGCAGCCCCACGGCCCCGGCGCCGTTCGCATGACCTCTCCCACCCCCAGCATCCTCCCAGCAGCCGCCCCCGCCGGGGGGGGAACCCGCTGCCTGGAGGCTCGGCCAGTTGTGGGGCCAGCGGTGAAGTCCTGCCGTGGGGCAAGGAGATGGGGGACACCCCTGCTGCTGCAGAGGGGGAGCCCTCCCCAGGTATGTCCCCCAGTGACGAGGTGGGGGGCACTGGCAGGGGGATGGGGGCACCAGCAGGAGGCATGGTATACTGGTGTATACTGGTGTGGGTCACTAGATGCTGGTGTGGGTCACCAGGCACCATCGTGAGTCTCGATGCACCGGTGTGGGTCACAGTACCCCAGTGTGTGTCACGATACGCCGGTGAGGGTCACCGTACGCCGTGGGTCACTGTGTGCTGCCGTGAGTCACAGCAGAGCAGGGTGAGTCACACCACACCGCCGTGGGGCACAAGACGCCATCGTGAGTCACAACACAGCAGTGTGGGTCGTGATCCCCTGCTGTGGGTCACGATACACCAGCGTGGGTCACAGTGCTCCACGGTCACCCATGGTCCCACTCAGGTGGGACGCACTACAGTGGTGTGGGTCACAACCCCCCAGTGTGGGTCACAACCCACGTTCCCCCCCCACTGCAGCCCCCGACACGCGCCACTCTCACCTGGGGTGGGCAGCACAACCCTATACAAGACACCCGCGAACCCCCACCCCAGTAGGGCCCCCCCCAGCAGGCCATGCTCTGTCCCTGCTCCCCCACAGGGGTGAATGTCCCCAGGGCTGGTGGCAGCGGCTGCAGAGATTTATACTTTGGGGGTTTCTGGTGGGGTTTTTTTGGCTTTTTTTTCTTGAATTACCATTATTTGTCCCTTCCCGGGCGCTGCCATAAATAACCACCCCCCCCAGACATCGTGTTCCCGCTCTGCCGGCAAACATTCCTCCCGCTGCCGGCCGTCATGGGCCACTGCTCCTGTCCCCAAGGGTCCCCTGGGATGAGGGGGGGGAACAAACAACCCCCAGCTCCCCCCGCACCCTCCCCTTGACAAAAAGTGACATATTTTTTTTCTTATTACAAAATATCTTTTATTGTTAAAAGGCCGCGGTGCCACTTCGGAGGGGGGAGGCTGCCGGGGCGCCACCGGGCTGGGGGACGGGGCGGGGGTGGCATGTGCCCTCCCCATGGGAAATGTGGGGAGGGGAGGGAAGGGCAGGGAGGACCCCATCGTCACTTTGGGGGCACCCAAACCCCGGGGGTGCCACAGGCGGAGGGTGCAGCTAGGGGGAGGAGGAGGAGGAGGAGGATGGGGGGGGACAGAGCCCCTCACCAGGGCGTCGGGGCGCGGCGGCGGCAGAGGAGGCGGCGGAAGGCCCTGCGGAAGTCCTGGTTGAAGACAGTGTAGATGACGGGGTTGAGGGAGCTGTTGCAGTACCCAATCCAGAAGAAGAACTGGAAGATGCCGTCGGGGACCTTGCAGTGCCGGGGGCAGAGCGCGCCCAGGCTGTAGAGGAAGAAGAAGGGGAACCAGCAGAGGACGAAGACGCCGATGACCACGGCCAAGACGAAGGTGAAGCGCTTCTCCCGGTTGAGCTGAGTCTTCCTCCGCCACGGGTTCAGCGCCGGCGGCCCACGGGCCAGCACCACCCGCCCCGTCCCAGTGGCCAAGGTGTCCCTGGGGCGTCCCCCTGCCGGCGGGGATGTCCCTGCCCCGGGGCTGGGGGGCGCCGGAGGCTCCTCGGGGCTGAGCAGCGAGGTCCTGTCTGCCGGCGGGCAGGTACCCGGGGGGTCCCTGGAGGTCGGGGGGGGCGTGACATTGGGTGGCCTCACCCCCGGTTTGGTGCCGGTGGGGCGGGAGCGGCGTTTGGCGATCAGGTAGATGCGCAGGTAGACGAGGATCATGATGAGACACGGGGCGAAGAAGGAGCCGATGCTGGAGGAGAGGACGTACCAGGCCTCCTCGTTGAGCTTGCACTGCGGCCGCCCCCCTGCCGCCGCCTTCTTCTCCCCCTTGTAGACCAAGGGAGGGAGGGAGATGACGGCTGCAATGGTCCAGACGATGAAGATGCTGCACTTGATGCGCCGCGGCGTCCGCTTGGTGTTGTACTCGATGGCCCGAGTGACCGACCAGTACCGGTCCAGGCTGATGGCGCAGAGGTGGACGATGGAGGAGGTGCAGAAAAGCACGTCCAAAGCCAGGTAGATCTCACACCACGTCTTCTCGAAGTACCAGTAGCCCAGTAGCTCGTTGGCCAAGGAGAAGGGGATGATGAGGGTGGCCACCAGGATGTCGGCGGCGGCCAGCGACACCAAGAAGAGGTTCTGGGGCGCCCGCAGCGAGCGGCTGCTCAGCACGGCCATGATCACCAGCGCATTGCCCGTGATGGTGAAGAGCACCAGGAAGGTGATGGCGGCGGCGATGGCAGCGGTGGCCTGCACCGAGTACCCCCCCTCGGGCCCCGCCATGGGTCCGGCCGCCGGCGCTCAGTGCTGCCCGCGGCTGCGGGGGGACGGGGCCGCAGGGGGCTGGGGGACAAGGGTGCCCCTCGCCATGCTGCCTGCACCCTGCCTGCACCCTGCCTTGGCCCCCCGTGCCGGTCCCCGGTCCCCGTCGCCGTCGGATGCCCCGTCCCGGTCCCTCCCGGTGCCCGTCGGTGCCGCCGGGCTCTGCGCTGCCGGGCGCCGCCTCCGCGGGGTTTTAAGCGGACGGTGGGGGGTGAGGGGGGGCTGAGCCACCGCCCCCGGGGCGGAACCGGGGGGGGACAGGCGGGGCCGGGCTCCGCTCCTTCCCCCGCAGCTCCCGGCCCCGCAGGACCCGCGT